AAAAGTTATTGACGTGATGGAAAATATTATTTCATTGAAAAATGTGTGATTAAAAATGAGTACAAGAATGATAATGAAAATTTTAATGTGGTTCAAACATGGGTTCTAAACGTTGTCTTGTTTGACTATGTTTTTTAAAAAGTAATGTTTACTTTTAAATTTACATTTTTACGTATAAACGGGCAAGTAAAAAGCTGCCCCGTTTGATCCACGTTATTTTTTTTTTCTCATCTTTCTACTCATTTTCAATCACACATTCTTCAATAAAATAATTTTTCATCACATTAATAACTTTTACTTCCTTTTCAAGTACATATTTTCCATCACATCATTTCAAAAAAATGCATTCTCTTATTTTAATGTGCATCAAACGAGTTCTAAACAACCATTAATTATTCTAATTTGGGGAGAAAATTTGATGTCCCGTTGGAGGATCATTTTTTCATCAAATTGGCATTTTATGCCATTTTGAAGCTGGGTTGAAGATATCATTACGTTTCCTTTTATTATTGACCTGTTTTTGCAAGCAAGTATAACAAAAGACTTTTTTGTTGCAATATTAGAAAATAATTTAATTCTTGTTTGGCTCCAATTTTTTAAAATTTATTTTTGAACCGTACATTTTATGGAAACTTCAACTTCGATCAAATTTTCAATCGCACATTTCATCAACTTTTTTATCAAAATTTATTAAAAATATGATTTTTAAGTAAATCATATAGGAGCTTAATTTCATGTATTTTTTTTCTAAACGTTATCTTGTTTGACTATATGTTTTTAAAATGTAACATTTACTTTAAAATTTTACCTTTTTTACTTATAAACATATTAGTAAAAAGTTGAATTACTATTGTTTTAAAACTCCTTCGAGCAACTCATTTATTTTCAAATCTCAATCAATGAATGATAATAATTCAACACCTCCTCATTCTAACTCAATTCTATATAGTGTTTCACTAGGGGTCCCGCCACCATAGTGTGCCGCCATTTCCCCTTCTTCGTCCTTCGTAAGTCCCTCCACCGGCCGCCCAAAACGCAAAAACCACTGATTAATGGACCACGAACACCAGCAACCTTTACTTGGTGGTGTTAATGCTGCGGGCCCCGCTCGATTTCCACACCCTTTGACCGCCACCTCTGATCACCACCGCCGCCACCACCGAATCACGATACCAGATGAACCGGGAAATTATGT